TAACTCTGTGAAGCTGTGTTACTGTGGCTGCCTAAAACACCTGGTTGATCTAATAAAGAGCTGAACGGTCAATATCAAGGCAGGAGAAAGGATAGGTGGAGCTGGCAGGCAGAGAAGAAATTTGAGAGAAGATCAAAGTGCAAGAAAAGGAGAAAGAGAGGAGGACATCAGGGGACAACCCCAGCAATGGAATAAGAAGAAAGAAGCTCAGAGGCAAAAGATAGATGGGATAATTTTAAGTTAAGAAAATCTGGCTAGAAATAAGCCAACCTATGGCTGGGCATTTTTAAGTACAAAAAAAAAAAATCTCCTGGGAGCAAGTGGAGGGCCACAAAGAATAGAAAGCCAAAAGAGTTTGTTAAAAAAAAAAAAAAAAGTCACCTCAACCAACACTGAGGCAGTGGAGACAGGAAGATCTCTGAGACAAGCCAGTCAAGTGGTATAGCTGAACTGGTGAGCTCCGGGATCACCGAGAGACCATGTCTCAAAATATAAAGGGAACTGGGGAAGACTCCTAATGTCAACCTCTAGCCTTGACCCACTCACCTATGGACATGGATACACATGTGGACATTCAGAGAGAAAGAGCAGTATTAGTTTTTCACGATATTATTCTGTGAACTCAACCACAGTGTTAATTTTGCTTGATTTTCTCTTAGTTTAAAGGAAAGACATAAACTCATAGTGACTGTTTGCAACAGGACTAAAGTACCATTGAGGCCCATGATCCCACAGTGAGTCATAGTACTCAGATCAGCATTTTCAAGACCACAAAGGACACATGGTGCTTTGTCCCCAAGGATGACTCCAGGGCATTCACAGTGAACCCTCATCATAGCCTCCCTCTTGGCTTCATAGCACAGTGACTTCTTGTGGTCACCATGGGAATGAAGACCATTCTGAAACCTATCACCGAAGCACAAACTCTTAGAAGCACAATTCTAGTTCATATTAATGCCAATATTTTTACTTCAATTCAGATAAGTTAAGTGGCATTTTCATACTTGTGTGCACAGTTATACTCTCCCATGTACGTGCAAGAGTCCAGAGGACACTGTGTCCTTCTTTATCACATTTACACCTCTTTCCAGAGAGGCAGGGCTTCTCGTAGAGTGAGACTAGTTGCCAGCAAGCTCCAGCAATCCTTCTGTCTCCTCCCATAGCACAGGCCTGTGCATGGCCATACATCAGCACTGGGGATTTGAACTCATGTTCTCATGCTTGTACATCAAACACATTTTCCTACTGAGCCATCTCCCCAGCTCCTAAAATGTCATTTGATACCTGCCTGATGTTAGAAAAGGGCTTTGTTTTGGAAAGCCTCCTTGTCAAGTTTCAAATCACACTGTTTTCAAAATTAAAATACATGGTTGTCTCCATCACAAACATGGCCTGCACATTGTATGTTTTGTGCCTCATTTGCTGTGCACCATGGTCTTCAAATGTTCCTAACAGATGGTCTCAAGTGCTACATATTATATAGCATTAAGTGGATGGCTTTGTAAACAAATGCATCACAGATTAAAATATTTTACAGCTTTTAAATCATGAAAGATGTTAAATAGCAGTACATTAATAAAAATGTTTAATGCAAACATAAAAGCTTTAATGACACAACTACTCATGAAGTGAATTATCTCTTTAAAGATCTGCCTTCTGGTAGGGTTCCCCAGAATATAACCTTAATTAATACAAAGCAGACAATCAATTTTACCTTGAGTTGGGGCCACTGTTTCTCCATCCAACTCCCAGGACTTTATCTGCCATCTTCACAAGGCCTCCTTCATAACTAGCAAGTTTTTGTAATAAACTGGACACAAGCCCACTGTGTTCTCTTAATATTATCTTGACAGAGCCACAGGTCCTAAGGGAACTTTCTGAATTACTTACACTCTCTAGTCTAGCCCCTTAAAATTAGGTTTCCATGAGAGATGAACCTAAAGAGGACACCAAAGTCATCATGTAAGGTTTAGCCTAACTGATGTAAACACAGGAGGTCTCTCAGTATATTCACACTGTAGACACAGACATTATTATGACAAAAGATGAAGACACTCTCCTATCAGATGTGGCTTTAATTACTTGAATGACCATCTTTTCTTCTGCTGAGAACGACACACTTCATTCTATATTTCTACTAAATTTAACTGAGTTTTAACTTTTTATTTATTGATTTGTATGGGTATGGGTGTGCATACCACAGCACAAGTGTGCAGGCCAGGGG